GATAGCAAGAAATGTAAGCTTTGTTACAGGATTACTCACCCCTGCAGTATTATTTAATGATGAGTTAAATTTGAGACATGTCAGTGAAAAACAATATCCGTAATTAATTACCTTCAGAATGGGACTGATGAGGGACCAGGAGCAAGACAAGGTCAGGACTTGGAGCATGAAGAGCAAGCAGTAAACCTTCGACGACAGAAGAGAGATAAGAGCAAGGGGTCAAGTGTAAAATGTGCCACACGCAGCAACAGTAACACCAGTGTCAGTGGAAGCAGCAAACCTGACAACATAGCACAGTGTGGCTCAGAAGTAGAGAGAACAAAAGACATCCAGCAAAAGACTGTGTATGTTTCTGATACATGTTTCATCAATCTTTAAGTCATTTTAAACCATTGTACATCTGCACAACTTATTTCTTTAAAATCTGTTCTAATATTCTCCACATACCTACACTTTTTCTTTTCATGATTACTAGCTCTCTTGTTATATATTTTTATTTTGTAGTTTCTTTTGATTACTTCTAGGCTAATAACACGAAAGACGAAAGTGTCTTTTTTAAAACCCATATATATTCATTATTTTTATCAGTTTCTCATCTTGAAACGTTGTTAAGTAACCTAAAGTATTTTCATAAAGTTTTTCAACCAAATGTTTGTACTTATTCATGGTATTCTGCATGTAAATTGCATGCCCCACACATATGCATGAAGTTGTGAGGCAAAAATATTTCAATGACAATTTCAGACAACTTCAAGAAGCCAAAGTGCGATTGCAGCATCTGCAGGATCTGTTGGCTATAGTAACAGAATGCCATAGTCATGGGCAACCTGTACCAGACCAGTACATTGAGTTGCTGAGCCAAGAAGTAGCCAGAGACGAGGGTTCAGATGCTGGAAGAGGAGAGACGCAACTGTCTTCAGGCTCACAGGTGCAAAGACATAGTGTGGAAAGAGAGAGAACACCAGTCAAACAGCAGGTGTATGACAGGTATGAATTACAAACATTATTTTCTTCGTATCTTTCTTTCTTCTTCTTTCTTTTTTCTTTTTTCTTTTGCTCATTGTTGGTTGATTCATATCTTTAAGATAGTGTAAATGTATTGTCATGGAAATATAAACAGAAATAATTCATAATTTATAATTTCTGCTGGCCTGTGTGTATATATTTAAGCATCTGAAGATGAGTGTGTTTCATAAGTTATTAAAAAACTTGTTGTTTTCTTTGTTTTTAAATTCAAAGAGGTACAGTTTCTGTCCTTAATTTGTACTATCTCACCAAAGTGTAATCTAATTATTCATGTGAATTTAAATAGTCCCAGTGCAGTGCCAGGTGGTTGTGAAGTCACTCTAGACATGGTTCAGGCAATAACTCATGATCTGCGTCAGCAAACACTTAGTCTTCAAGAGGAACGAGAAAGATTAGTTTCAGCACAGAGAGAACTGAGTAAAATTC